ATCACAAATGTGATTTGGTCATACAAAATATCAGGTCATTTCATCTCTATAATAAAATTAAAATTTTTTTTGCATCTCAATTCCATCTGAGTTGTCTAATAGTCATATTCTTTACTTAAAAATAGTTTGAACAATTTTAAATAAAAATTAAGATTTTCATGAGTTTAAATTTTTTTTTTTTTTTTGGGCTTTTGATTTTTTACAGAAATAAAGTGGCTCAGATTACACTGGTCAGATGTTATACATGGCTTTTCTGCTCTCTCATTAGAACAGCCTCCCCGGCCAATCATTATTTTTTTTACAAGCTTGAGGGTTAAATTGTTTGCAGGTATTTACTTTAATAAAAAAACTTATTCATTTTCTATTTTCTTTCTAATCTATTTAGCTATTAAATTGGCTTTTATTATGTTTCTCTACGCTTGCAAAACGATGTTAGGTGATTTTATTTTATGTTAAAGTGTTTCTAGAAATGTGTTAAAACATTGACTGCATTAATGACTCGTGTTAAGACCGATGAACAACAAAAAAAATGTTATCTTATGATATTGTATTAACACAAATTATCATTTGTGTATCTAATTTGTTGATTTTCTATTAATTTCATTTTTGAAGATTATTACAAGTATAAATTAGTAGTTTTTCTAGACATTAATAAATATATTTTAGTTAATCATAATCATCAAAAGTAGTTTCTGAGATAAAAGAGTAATACAGCTTATGAGAAATCCACATCACCTTCACAAAAAAGATGTTATTGTCATACTAAACATATTACACATGTTGTTTTTGATACATGAAACGTAATTTTCATCCTGTTCTTTTTGAATTAGATATCATTTACTGTGATGCACAATATCTGAAATCTATAGAGCTATCCTAAAGTCTATAATTTACAATTTACAATTTTTGTTTGGCTAGATGGAAAACTATTTGAAATGTCAGTTAATACATCATTTTTACATTTTTCTGTCTTTACTTTTGTTTAATGCACAAACAACATCACCTTGAATAGCACTGGTTCAACACTTTTTTTAATAGATTTAGACATTCTAGAATTGAATACGTACAAATCAGTGTGAGTCCATTCATTCTCATAGAATGAGAATCATCGTGTGGTAATTTTATTTTTTTAAAAACTATTATTTTTATCTACCTATTTTACCTATGTTCAATCTAAATTATTACAGGTTTTCAGGCTGGCCTCATTCTATTAGAACACTACTTCCTTCTTCCAAGCAAGCCAATGAGGAAGAGATTTTGCAAACTGGAAAAAATGTGACAATTGAGGAGTTAAGGTATTTGGATCCTTTATTTATATAAGGCGTATGCAATACTTTTTTATTTTATTTTATTTTATTGTGTTCCACAAAACCCTTTCAATTGTTTTTGACTCATTTGATAAAAGTTATTTATTTAATAATTGGTTTTGTGCAAATATAATTTTTTTAAACATTTTGCAGAATGATACGTTTTTTGTGCAAAGTGTCAATCAAGCAATATAACACGAGGTATGAATGATGGTACACCGTTTGCCCTACATGCACAAAACAAATATACAAAGATCCAACGAGTGGTAAACTAATTTGCCAGAAGCATCCAAATCAGATTCCCACTTCATGATAATAACTCTAACAATGTGTTTCAATTTTTGTGTCTTCTGAATCCTTGCAAGCTTAGATTGCATTAAATCCAAACTTTTTTAGGAACACAAAGTTAGAAAATTATTCGCTGTTGTTTAGTACTTCGATAGATGATGCTTGTTTAACGGATTATTATGTGTCTTTTGAATATTCCCAAGCTTAGATTATATTAAATCCAAACTTTCTTATATATACAATGTTGGAAAATAATTCGCTGTTGTTTATTACTTTGATAGATGGTGATTGTTTAAAGGATTATTGTATTGTCAGGCACTTTCATAGATGAGAACTTTTTTAAATGTCTATTTGATGTACATTTTATGTTAAAAAATAATGTAATGATTATACCTTCGTGAAAGAAAAGGTAGTAAAAAAGAATTAGATATAATGAGGACACTGAAATAAAGAATCATAGTATACTTCAATTTTATCATATGATTAATCTTAACATTAAAGTACAACATTTAAAAATTTAATACGAATCAAGCTTTAAACTCATTAAACAATTCGTGGTTTCTAATTTATGCAGTATGTTTTTAAATGAAGGTACAAAGTGTTCTTCGTCCTTGAAGATGAAACAAACGAGACCAATGCTCTCATTATTGGCAAATCAGGTGAAAAAGTTTTTGGCATGCCCCCTAAAGACTTGGTTTTCAATCAGAAATCAGCAGATCAAAAACAGTTGCCAAGTTCTTAGGCTTATAGGGCAGAAAAAAAAATTTTAACCTTCGATTTGGAAACAAGAGAAATTCATTGAACTCGAATGATTTTCTCATCCACAACGTTTCTAAGGACCTGACTATTTAGCTAGCAACTCCACAATCTTTGATAGAGAAATTACAGTCTCTTCTACAACAGTTTCATCTTCCACTACCCCTGTTGACACAACTAAGGAATCGCATAAAAGAAAGAGAGAATCAGTTAGAAGAGCCCTTTTTATACCATCTGAAAAAAAAAGGTTGTACTTTGTATACAATATTTTTAATTCCATCACAAATTGATCTCAATCTAATCTAAATTTATGTTTTCAATGTTTTTAATATCTTTGACATAGTGAACGCGAAGAAATATTTGAAACAGATACACAAGATCCTGATCAGGTTTCGATCAGTTGTTGAAAAGAAAATCTTGGCTAACCAGCTCAAAAATAGACCTTGCTCCGGACAAAAAAAAAAAAAATAGATAACTCTGGTTTATTACTGGTTATTCCATACTATAAATCTTTTTATCTCCAAAATTTATTACAAGTGTATTAACATTTTCTTTCAGTTTTAACTTCCTTCTTTTTTTCTAATTATCCAAATTGCTTCAAGGAAAAAACTTTTGCTCATTTGTTAAGGGATGTTGTCATGTGTTATCCAAAACAGACAAGTGTTGGTTAATATTTTGTGTATGTAAATAGTTGATCCTAACATGAATTCCCCATTCTTTTTGTGTATATAAACAATGTGCTCTTTTGGATATTTTATGTTCAAGTAGCCATACCAATGGAGGACAAGGATGATTGTCAAGGGGAATACTAGGCTACCCATTTTTGTATATCAATGATAAGGCATTTGATAATGTCTTTCCGTAAGTTATATAAACTTAGATAGCTTTGTAAAAATATTTGCTCCATTTTTTGCTTAATTTTATCTCACTCTTTGCATATTTATATGTCAAAAATATAATATATGGTTATATTTTCGCTCCCGCAACAACATGCGGGTAAAATTTACTAGTTAACTCTAAATTGTGCTTGTCTATATGCAAGTTTACTCGTTTGAAAAGAAGAAGAGTAAGGCGATTACTATTTACAAATCTGAATTTCTTTTTTTTTTTTAATGTTTTCTTGGCCTTATCCTCAGAATTGGATTTGCTTCGGACTTTAGTGTCTGGAGCCTAAGGATCAATTAATCTGGGCCACACAAATTGAATCTAACGGTTTCCATAAACTCATTTTCCTGGTTCATCACACACAAACCAACAACTCTGATTTCTTTTACACACCAATCAGCAACCCAGATGGATTGATCTTTAGGTTCCGGACACTAAGGTCTGGAGTGGATCCAATTCCCTTATCGTCCATTATAACTATCGCCTTAGCTTTTCGATGAAATTTTTAACCACTCTCATTGCACCACGTGTCATTATTGATTAATAATATATGCACATATTTTTATAAGATTCGCAGCCATTCATGCAGTTTCATGAGCCCTTATCCAATCTTCTGATTTCCTCATATTTCTCCATAAAAAAACTCTTTAAACCACCACATCTACTCACACCAAGCCTCTTCCATCTTCCCTGCACATTACAATTCATATATTTTTAGAAAAGAAAGTTCTTTCAACAATGGATAACCTGACGCAATTGCAAGGACAAGAAAGGCGAGAAACGAGTGAGAAGATGAACAACAAAGAAAGAGGTGTGTCTAACATCATAGGAAGAGAAGCACCAATTCATCAAGTGGTGCAAGAGGTTGCATCAATCAATCAACACAACAAAGAAGAAGTTGGTTCAAGCACCGGTTGTGCATCTAACCTCAAACTACGTAGGGGAAACCAATGTGAGGTCCTATTGGAAGATCACCTTATTCCATATAGTTTGTACGCGGCAAATTATTTTCGTAGAGGATTTAGAATGCGATGACATTTGTTCAATAAAATCATCTTGTTATTTGAAATCGTGATAATTACTTTGTTCAAAAGAAGGATGTTGAGAATGCTATGAGCAAAAAATCACGGTTGCCTTGTGGATGCCGCTTATGGGGCATCTGTAGACTGTACATTCGACTTACATCTACAAAGAACGTCACCGTCACTTGATTGAGCAATTGTGGGTGTTGAAACTTGCTCAAAATAACTGAAGCTCATTCTTATGCTTTCAATAAATGACAAAGATACGTATTATGTTGAAGTATGCTCTGTAGTGTGTTTCAATTTTTTTTTAACCGTGTTGAACTTTGTAAGTTTGTTAGTGTGTTAACTTTGTAAAATTGTTTAAGTGGTGAACTTTATAAATTTTGTTTAATGTGAACTTTGTAAGATGATTGAGGAATGAAGAAAATAGTTAACGATTTATAGGACTTTGTAATTTTTAGTTTCGGTATTTTTTTTATCGTTGTATTAATTATGACATTTGATTTTGGAAATTATAAGAGTTGAATGTGCCAGATCGCGTCATGTGGATGCACCAGATTGTGCCTCGTGGATATGCAGATTGCACCACGTGGCAAGCTTTTTCAATGGAATTTATTCGGTTTTTTCCTCCAAATTTTCTGATCCGTTAGATCAAAACATGCAAATCTAACCGTTGAATACGAACGGCTGATGTTTCACGCAATTAAAAAGTAAAAAACCAACGACAGTATATAAAGGCGCCAACAGCTGAATCAGCGGCCACCGTGAGGCTCCAATTTCAACCGCCGCAAATGGCCCAGTATACACCAACCTTAAACCCTCCCAAAACCCTAATCCCCAAGCTCTCAAATCCTAATCCCTCGTTCTCTTCATTCTCTACCTTCACAATCCCAAAACCCAAATCCATAAACTTCCCAAAATTCTCCATTTCGGTCACGGCGGCCCAAAACCAGCAGCACCACCAGCAACCGCCATCCTTGGAAGCTCTGATCAACAGTGATCGCAAAGAAGAGGTGCTTGGAGTTATCAAGAGTTCGTCGTCGCACTGCCTTTCCGAAACCAACCTCCACCTGACAGTTCCTGGCCTCAAATCCAAAACCAGAGGCAAGGTATGAAACCCAAATGAAAAAAGAACACGTTATTATTTTGGGTTTTAATTAATTTTTTTTTCCCAATACGTTTGGTAAATTTTGATTGACAACCAAGTTGGAGCTTTTTTCTCAAGAAACCACTTGTGGGTTTTTAATTTGACTGGAGAAGGACTTGCAATTTTCTGTGTTTTGCAGGTTAGAGATGTTTACGACAGTGGGGATTATCTAGTTATGGTTACGACGGATAGGCAGAGTGCATTTGACAGAATTCTTGCGTCTATTCCCTTCAAAGGCCAGGTTTGTCCTCAGTTCTTACCCCAAAGGAAGTAAATTTCTTAATATCAGTTTTCTGTATTGTGTTTAGTTGAATTTCTTACTAAAAATAGAAAAAGAACGGTCACAAATCACGATATCGAAAAAATACAGTATTCATTACATGGTTGATGGATAATTAGTAGTAGTATCTGAAATCATGATCATTGTTTCTATGATATTTAGGTCCTTAATGAGACAAGTTTATGGTGGTTTGACAAAACTCGACATATAACTTCAAATGCAGTTGTTTCGGCTCCGGATGAAAATGTAACAATTGCAAAGAAATGCTCTGTTTTTCCCGTTGAGTTTGTGGGTAAGAGATTCCATTAATTGTGTTTAGCATTTTTCTTTAACTGGCTAGTGAGTTATTTCACTGTCAATGTGATTCATGTTTCTTAGAGTTTTCATTGTAATTCATAATCTTTCAATTTTGAGTAAGGGAAGATGTTACGAGGTTTAGTAAAAGAAATAACTTTTGTCTTAATTTTTTTTTTTTCATAATCAACGCAATGGTCGAAAACAATAAAAAGAACTGGTGGAAGATGGACTTTCTGATATATTCATTTTGTATCCTAGCGAGCAATTGCTTAATGTTCCAGCATTGTACTTGGGGCGTTGGTTCATGGATTCAACTTTCTGTAAAAGAAATTATTCACCCACATTTTTCTTATTTTCTGAATTTTGGCGTTGGAAGCCTCCATTTTACTTAAAGAATTTATGTTTTGGTAGCTTGTTTTGCTGTTACCTACACTGTTTCTTCGTTTAAGAAAAATTAGATATTTATGCATCTACCTGGTCTTTTGAGAGGATAACGTAGCTGTATATTATGCAAATGGAAGTTTTGAGAGGAAACAATTATATAGAGAGGTATCCTATATTTTCTTCTCATAATCATGGAGGAAAAGTATGATAGCTTAAATCTTTTTATTTTCTTCTTCTCATATTCATGAAGGAAAGTAGATTAACTGGTACTGTAGATAAAATTTTAACCATGAAGATTTCATAATAAGCGTATGACAGAAAGGCAGAGTAAATTATGAAACCTAATGTTACAATCCATCTTTTCATGAGTTTATTGGCTTGCTCTCTTTTCTTTCCTGATCACGGAAAGTCAGTAGTTGTTGAGTAAAAAAATTTCATAGTCCACAGTATTTAATATTTTCATTGTCCATCGTATTTCTTGTTGTAAAAGATGGAATTTTATCTTCGAAGATAATGGTTTATTTGAATGAGGGTACTTGCAGCATTCATAAGTTCATTAAGTATAAAGTCTTTACGCTACTTTTGCTGCTCATTTTGTAGTCAGAGGTTTTGTGACGGGAAGCACTGATACATCATTATGGACGGTCTACAAAAATGGTGTTCGAAATTACTGTGGCAATGTACTCCCAGATGGTGTGCTTTCTAATTAATAAGTTGGTTTTGTAAACCATTTTTAAAAGTCAAACCAATTTTTGTCTAATGGTCTATTCATGTTCTAGGCTTGGTAAAAAGCCAAAAGCTTCCTGCAAATATACTCACACCAACAACTAAGGCTGCAGATCATGATGTTCCTGTTACCCCAGACGAGGTTTGCTAAATTTGATGTCATTTGCTACCTAACAGGGGAAAAATAGGGAAGGAGAAAAGGGTAGCGATAATCAGTCTGTGTTGTAGACGGAATTAGGTCATTACGTTGTGCTGGATTTCCTAGTGGGTTGGAATGTATTAATATTGCTTCATGCAATTTTCTCGCAGATAATTGAACGTGGACTAATGACTCAAGCCGAGTATGATGAAGTAAGCAGGAAAGCACTGAGCTTGTTTGAGTATGGACAGGTAACTTGACTTTATTCTTATTGTCTTATTGCAATGAACATTTTAAAATGTAATTATCTGAAAACATATTGGGAAATTGGGACTACTTGATAAATATATAGGCTTCTGAATGAGATTACTATTTTAGCATAAAAGTGGAATATAAGAAAGGCTACAATGATGAAAAGTTGGAAAAGCCTGAACAAATTCTTTTGAACGGTTGAAAACTGTGTCAAATGCTTTGATCTTGGACATTAACTTTGTATACCTGGACACGACCAAGGATTTGTGTGTGTATAAGCTTATCGAGCATACATAGTTGAGCAATCCAAATAAATATATTTGCCAACGTAACCAGCTGTATATGTTTGTGGGGAGATTATCATAATTGACTTGAGTTCGGGTACTGACCGAATCAACTTCTTATTTAAATAGTAACCATCACCCAAACTTACCAGTTTTACCATTTCTTTCATGTTGCAGTGTGTGGCTTTGGAACATGGCTTGATATTGGTAGACACAAAATATGAATTTGGAAAGGGCCAGGATGGTTCCATTCTTTTGATTGATGAGGTTTAGCATTCTCATCTGTAAAAATTTAATAGTTCTTTCTGACTCATAATAATACACTTTTTCAAATAATGTAATGAGAGTTGATTTCCACTCCTTTCCATTCCAGGTGCATACACCTGATTCAAGCAGATATTGGATTGCACATACTTATGAGGAGCGATTTCAGAATGGTCTTGAACCCGAAAATGTTGATAAAGTATGCAATGCATTTATACTGTTATGTTCTTTTCGCCCTTTTAATCTTATGATCTTATAGACAAATTACGTTTTATCTGACATTTATATCTTTAATTCTTAGGAGTTCTTGAGGTTGTGGTTCAAAGATCACTGCAATCCTTACAAAGATGAGGTAGTTCACATGAAGTTCAATATATTTTCTTTTTTGCGTTTGAGCATGTATAAACTTCAAATCTCACTCTGATGCTTAAAACTGTTAGGTCCTCCCTGATGCTCCTGAGGAACTCGTTTGTGAACTAGCTTGGCGGTATGCCACTTCTTTACTGTGCCTTACATAATTTATTGTATACTATATTATAATGCCTTCAACATGCTTCATGGATGTAAACAAGGAGTGTTAACCTGGCCACCCGACTCAGCAGGTCAGGGGCGGGTCACCGTAGGCGCATTTTGAGCTGCTCGAAACCTAAATACTTGATTATAAACTGCTAATTGACTTGTTAGAAATTTGTACTTGGTAGTGCGTTTTATGATGGAATATCATATTTGAAAGACATCTGGCTTTACCGCCTTGGTTATGATGCGGTTTGTTAGGATATTCTGTCTAAAGCAAAACATGGGAATGGGGTATCTGGAGATGCAATGTTAATGTGTCTTTCCATCCTTCATTTCCCCCGGTTCATATTGTGATTAGGAATATTTCGCTGATGACAACTCATCCTTCATTCCCTCCTCCCTCGCTTTCCTGGGTTCCCCCTCCCCCTCCTCTCCCCTATCTGGCTTCCCCATGTATCTAAATAGAACTACCCTTGCCCTTAACGTGTTATTGTTTGATAAGATCCGTACAGAAGCGACCAAGTTTGAAGATTTTTGTATCTACCACTACTTGGACTGAGATTATTCTTTGATGACAGATACATTTTCCTGTACGAGACAATAACAAAATCAAAATTCAAGCTGCCCTCCACGGAGGTAAGACTTAGAGATAAAAATACGTCATTGACATATTGAGAGTATTGTGTAGAGATTGTTGTAACATAATTTTCTGCTTTTTCATTCAGGAGCCAATACATGATCGGATATCACGCAATGTTGCACAGGCGCTGTCATCTCTGACTCGATAACTTTGTACTGTGAAGCACAAATTTTATGCTGGAATTTAGTTAACCCTTCCTTTCCACCGGAAAGAGGAAAGCATCCGAAATGATTGGAATGCAGTTTGTTGTGCTGTTTTTGGGATATTGTCTCTAGGTTAGGTGTTTAAACAGTGGCTTGTATGCAACACCAGGTTAGGTGGTACTTGGTATAATTAAGCCAAAAGCGTTTTAAGCTGCCATTTTGCTTAAAGTGTGCTTGCGTGCAAATGTAATCAGACCACATTACATCGGCAGATGCCTGATGGTGTGCTTATAACTATTATTTGAAAGGATATGAAATTTTATTTACTTTTAAAACAATGATGGGTGTAAGATTTTTAACACATGACATTGTATTATTGGATCGGCATGCTAAGTGACGGTGAACCTGTTCCATATAAGTTGATCCCTTTTTTATGGACGCTATGGTCTAGTTTATGTTTTATTCTCTAAAATTTCATCCGTTAGTCTTCACTACCAAATTAACCTTTGTTTTTCTGACCGTACAGAGTTGACGTTATGCATCTGTACATTGTTCAATAACAAAAAATGAATCCTATAAATGGATGGATTAGGAACTTATTGCCTATAAAACTTGTGTTCATATCAAGTTTGGGAAAGAAATAAGGAATTTTAATGAAAAATGCTTCTCAAAACTTTTAATTAACCAAAAACCATATACTAACTTTATTTAATAAAAAAGACTTAAACTTTAATAAAAATGACTCAAATTTTAATGAAAATGACAAAAGTTTTACATAACAACAAAACAGAAAAAAAAAAAAAAAACATATACTAATGCGCAGGATCGCGCGTCACATCACACACACACTCTCTTACCCACTTAACCATGTAACTTCGTTCTCTCTCTCCCTCTTTGTATGTTCACATCCATTTTTTTCTCTCCTTTCGCCTCATCCATCCACATCAACTTTTTCACTTTTATTTTTTATTTTTTCACCTCTCCCCACTCTTCTCTTTCCTTTCACCTCACTCCATAAACATTTTATTTTTATTTTATTATTTGTTTATTTGATTATTCTTTCAATTGTTTTAGAACAAAGTAAGTAATAATATTACAAAATTAAAAATAAAGAAAAATTTCATTATTTAGTTTATGAACATTAATACTGTGACAATTTCTTAAACAAAATATTGACTACTTCTTAAACTGAACATTGACTACTTCTTAAACCAAACACTATTTTGTAAACTAAACATTGACTACTTCTTAAACTGAACAGTATTTCTTAAACTAAACACTAACTATATCTTAAACGGAACACTAATACTATCATTACTTCTTGAACTAAACACTGACTATTTTGTAAACTGAATACTGACTATTTCTTAAACTGAACGCTAGTACTATTACTATTTCGTAAACTAAACACTGACTATTTCTTAAACCGAACACAATAGACTATATATATATATATATATATATATTAAACCAAGTAATAGTACTATCACTATTTCGTAAACTAAACACTGACTATTTTTCAAACCAAACACTAGTATTATCACTGTTTCGTAAACTAGTACTGTCACTATTTCGTAAACTAAGCACTGACTATTTCTTAAACAAAAAGCTAACTATTTCGTAAACTAAACACTGACTATTTCTTAAAATCGAACACTAGCACTATCACTATTTTTTAAGCTATTTCCTTACAAATTACTGTCATGTATTGATGTCAGCAATATATTTTTTTATCTCAAATTTCTATCTCTTTTTAAATTTTTTTAGAGTTTGTTGATGTCAGTTTGAAAGGATTTGGTTGTTCCTTACACACTCCCTCTCTTCCTTCCCGATGAAATATTTAAAAAGTAATTTGGGTGTTGCTTTTGCACCGTTGATTTTTTGTTGAAAATTACCACTTTTCTTTTCTTTCTTTCTGTACATAAACAGATTTCTCTCTCCCTCTCTAAAAGAAAAAAGAGTCATTGAAGCTTCACTCTCACGTTTTCCTTCCCAATGAAATGTTTTAAAAATAATTTATTTCATTCATCCATTTCATCTCATCATTCATTGTACTACTCCCACTACTTATTTTGCACTGCACGTTAGTCTTCTTATCAGTTCTATCTACTCACAGTTACAGCAAAGGCTTGATTTGATATTTGAATTGGTTGGCGCGTGCTTACGCGCGGTTGGGTTGGATTATTTTTTATTTTTCGTCCTTATCGTTAAATAAAGTTTGTATATGGTTTTTGGTTAAAATTTAAAATTTTGAAGCCCTTTTGGTTAGTTTTTCTAAAGAAATAAGCATGTTCATATCCAATTTGAGAGAGAATGTCCAAAAACAAAGGCTTAAATGTCAAAATGGTCCTTGTGTTTTACGTGTTTGGTCAATTTAGTTCCTAAGTTTTCAATTTGGCAGATTTGTCCTTGTGTTACTGTTAGCCAATGTGGTCAATTTCGTTATTTTACTGTTAAATATTTCATTTTGAATTATTAAAAACCATGTTTATTTTAAGAAATATGAAAAGATCAATGCTAAATAAAATAAAAAAAATTAAAATTAAAATTAAACACTCCAGGCAACATCTGCAACTTCCACGTTGCGTTGCTCTCCACCAATGGTATACATCTTACTCCCTTCCCTCTTATAGAAATGTCATTTAAAGTAGATGCATCAACTATTAATTGCGTTTGTTCCCTTGCTTTAGTTTTGAAGTACATATTTTTACTTTTATACACTTCTATCAATTTTCTGTTGTCAGATTGAATGAATTAAAAATAATTAACGACAAAAAATTAATAAGAGCATGTGAGAGGTAAATAATGAATGCGTGAAAGGTAAAAATGATGCGTAAAAAGCACTAATTCTAAACATATGGGAAAATGATTTGAATATTCCGTCTTTATCCTCTTGTTTTTTTAGCCATTAAATCATACAATTCAACGGTGAATCGAGACAATAACAAACAAAAAAAATGAAACAGGACATAAAGGAGTGTGAAAATAGTTTTAAACATATGCCATATATTAGTAAATAAGTAATTTTTTTTTCTTTTCAAAATGAATATCTTGACCTGCTAGACTTACATGGGAAACCAATCTACGACTCATGTATGAAAAATTGCATAGGAGAGTTGGGGCATTCAAATTAAAGCCGGAAGAACGAGGACTTTGAAGGACCACATATACTTTTATTGTATCATTGTGTTTTATATAACACAATGACAAATAAGTAAAATTAAATCTGAAAGAACAAGGATTTTTATGGACCGCATATACTCCGATGGTAGCGCCCTGCTTTAATAACACAATGATATGTGAGTAAATTTAAAACATCACTACCCTATTGAACTGTTAACTACATTGAGAAGAATTAAAGAACAGACAAGATGGAGGAAAATGAAGAACTAGAGAGAGATTTTTTTTTGGGAAAAACGAAAGTCCTGTAAATTTAAGGAAAACGACAACTTATACTTATAAGTTGAATTACGTTACATACAGAAGAATACAACTCATTCAACCATCTAACAATCATACTAAAATTTTGACTGATGTAACATTGATTCCACAATAACCAACGACCAAAAGACATCTATCTACATAAACGGGACCACTGCAATAATAATATATCCGAAGAACATAATAGAAGAAGCTAGAAGACAAAAGTCGCTTACGACAAGTCAAAGCCGTCTCCATCTCAAACGTTGCAGGTCAAACTCAAAGTTCTAACTGCAAGAAAATTCGTCTGGTCAAAAAAGAAGGAAAATGTAAAAAATAAAAAAAAAAACAATAAAGAAAAGTCAAGCATTGGCTTCCGTGACATCAGCAATGACGTCATCATTGAATTCTGTCTATAAATTGGCATGCGGAATTGGGAAAATGATGCCATAAAACTCGAACAATGTCTGGAGAATCAGTGAAATTGCTTGGGTACTGGGCAAGTCCTTTCGCTCTCAGAGTAAAATGGGCCTTGAAAATCAAGGAGATTGAGTACCAGTATGTTGAAGAGGACCTCCCAAACAAGAGCCCCTTGCTCCTCCGTTACAACCCCGTGCACAAAAAAGTACCCGTTCTTGTGCACGACGGGAAGCCGGTCGCAGAATCGCTCATTATACTCGAATACATCGATGAGACGTGGAAGCACAATCCGATCCTGCCGCAAGATCCCTACGAAAGGGCACAGGCACGCTTCTGGGCCAGATTCATCGATGAAAAGGTAATCGAATGAGCTATCTTGATCAAGGAATCTTTCATTCATAATATTCACAAGCACCAACTGGGTGAATTAGCATTCAAACGGACCATTTTTTGTTGTTTGTTTCAGTGCGTGCCGGCAATTATGAGTGCATTCACCAACCAAGGGGAGGAGAAAGAGAAGGCGGCAAAAGAAGCGCGAGAGAACCTTAAGACGTTGGAAAGTGCACTTGGGGGAAAGGACTTCTTCGGAGGAGAAACCGTTGGCTTTGTGGACATAGCTGCTGGGTTGATTGGATTGTGGGCTAGAATCGTCGAGGAGATAGCAGACGTAAACCTGACTGATGCCGAGACCATGCCTCTGCTCAACGCTTGGTTTGGAAGAGTTCTCGAGGCTCCTGTTCTCAAAGAATGCGTGCCCCCTCGAGATAAATTGCTGGAGCACAACAGAGGGTTTCACAAGATTTTGACAGCAGCATCAAGTTGAAGTGTTCGGTGCCATCTCTCGATGGTCCCTGCATATTTTTATCATCATTTTATTCACAAAAATGGTTGTGTACGAGGAATAAAGTGAGCATCAGCTCAATTCATGATATCATAGATCAATAAATTGGTAAAATACAATTAAAATGTTTGCATTTCAGCAGCGCTTTAAAGAAATAATATCAGGGAAAATAATACCTTAAAAATCATGACCAAACATTTCATCTGTTGATTGCTCGGTCGCAGTGAAGGAAAATGACCCAAGATGCAGCGATCTTCCATAACAATCTACACACTGACACAGGTGCTGCGTCCCTTACTGTATGGATTAGAAAACTGGAGGAGGAGAGACTATTGGATAAATATTTCTCTCCCACTTTAAGTAACAAAGAAGCAACTTCCCTGAATCAGTGGACCTATATCTTTCATGAACAATTGCTCCTTCGAGTCATTGATTCACCAACCAACAGTCAGAGAAGCATTAACCTGTCCTGTGAGCCTTCATAGGAAGCCTAAGTTACCATGCACAACAGTTCCATAGTTAGTAAATCGCGTATACTATGCGTATTATACAAGCACTTGTATGAATTAAAAAAAAAAAATGCCGTCTTCCATAAACGTATTAATGATTCGTTAAGTTGTACAATTTTTAAAACTCTAATGTACGATACAGGTAAGC